GCAGCAGCAGCAGCAGCAGCACCAGCAGAGTGCAGCAGCAGCAGCAGCAGCAGCAGCAGCGGAAGAGACAGTGCCTATCTGCAGCTTCACAGTCGAGGGACTGTCTCCTTTTGATTTGGCGCTCTGCGCTGACCAGTGGCACCATGTGCACCTCAGAGCAGGTGCACCTGCTGCTGCTGCTGCTGCTGCTGCTGTTGCTGCTGCTGTTGCTGCTGCTGTTGCTGTTTTACTAGACTAGGTGCTGCCGCAACACCATCAACTGCTGCTGCTGTTGCTTCTGTTGTTGCACCGGACTAGGGGTCTTAAGTGTGGTTCTGCTGCTGCATCCACAACATCTGCAACTCCTGCTGCTGCTGCTGCTGCTGCTGCTGCAGGCCACCACTGCGCGCAGCCGCTGCATGAAGAGGTGTTGGGGGTTTCGGGTTCTCTTAGGGCCTCTTTGGCGGTTTACAATACTCAACAAGACGTATATAGGTGCTGCTGCTGCTGCTGTTGCTGCTGCTGCTGCTGTTGCTTCTGCCGCTGCTGCTGTTGCGGCATTTAGAGCAAAGTGCATATATGGAGGCGCCTGCGCACTGCACAGCAGCAGCAGCAGCTGCTGCTGCTGCTGCTCATGCTGTGCGCGTTTTGCCCTACTTATCATAAAGCGTAGGGTTTGGGGGTTAGGGTTTAGGGTTTAGGGTTTAGGGTTTGTGAGCAGGTTCCACGACGCTATGATCAAAACAATAAAACGAATCGACGCTGTCAGGAAAACAGCAACCCGCAACTCTGCTGCTGCTGCCGCTGCTGCTGCTGCCGACAGTGCAGCAGCAGCAGCGCCGCGAGCGGCAGCAGCAGCAAGCAAAACGGCATCCTAGAGCCCCTGCTGCCTGCAAACCACGAGTAGGGTTTGCTAGGGTTTAGGGTTTGGAGGCTAGCAGCACTAAACCCTAAACCCTAAATTGGCGAGTCCACGTTTTGGCCTAGGACCTAAACCCCAAAAAAGGGTTTATTGATTGCGCACTGCGAGGCGGGCCCCATATGTGGGCCCTGAGCCGTCAGCCGCCCATGCAGGACCTAGGGTTTAGGGTTTAGGGTTTAGGGTTTAGTCGCTTTCAGAGTCTGTACTAGCCAAGGGTTTGTCAGTGGGCTTTAAACCCAAAGCTTCTCTTAACTGTCTCCAAACTGCAACAGTAAATGGAGACAGCACTGCCTGGCTCGTCTCAGGTTTGCTGCTGCTGCTGCTGCTGCTGCTGCTGCTGTTGCTGCTGCTGCTGCTGCTGCTGCTGCTGCCTTTGCTGCTGGGGCTTGAGCCGTCCTCAGGGGTTGCCTGCGGGCAAATCGAAGCAGAGGCCCTTGCTGCTGCGTAAGCCCTAAACCCTAGCGCTGTGCAAACCCTAAACCCTCGCTGCAGCGCAAAACCCAAAACCCTAAACCCTAGCGCCGCGCAAACCCTAAACCCTCGCTGCTGCGCAAAACCCTAAACCCTAAACCCTCGGGCGCTAGCCGGGACCGCCTGCAGCGATTACGGGCCCAGCCCCCCAAACCCCAAATCCTAAACCCTAAACCCTAAACCCTAAACCCTACGTGGACCATGAGCACCCCGTCGGGGGCGCAGCAAATTGAAACCAAACCATCCCGCAGCAAACCCGTCAAACAAAAAAGCCGCATGCAGCTTTTTGTAAACCCCCAAACCTCCCGAGGGTCTACGGCCAACTCCCACAGACAGATGCCCCCTGCTGCTGCTGCTGCTGCTGCTGCTGCTGGGTCTGCTGCTGCTGCTGCTGGGTCTCCTGCTGCTGCTGCTGGGTCTGCTGCTGCTCCTGCTGCTGGGTCTGCTGCTGCTGCTGCTGCTGCTCGCCGCTTACGGAGGAAGCGCAGCAGCCGCGCCGTTAGTCGCAGTGTTGCTGCTTCGCGCTGCTGGTCGCTTGGCAGCTGCAAACCACCAAACCCTAAACCCTAAACCCTAAAACCTGAACCCTAAACCCTAGACCCTGGACTCCAAGCGCCAGACCCTAGGCCTGAACCCCTGGGGCAGTGCTTGAGCAGAGGCGAGCCTTTCAGCTTTCGACGGAGGGCTCAGGGTTTAGGGATTAGGGCTTAGGGTTTAGGGTTTAGGGTTTGGAGGACTCACAAGCTCGTCAGCTATGACTGTGGTGCTGCTGGGGTCTTTCTTTGTCCTCCTGCGTGCTGCCCTTTTCTTTTCGGGAGCAGCAGCGGCAGCAGCAGCGGGGTCTGCTGCTGCTGCTGCTGCTGCTGCTGGAGAGAGTGCAGCAGCAACAGCAGCAGCAGCAAAAGCCCCCGTCTCCCGCAGGCCCCACGAAGAAAGACTCAGCGGCAGCTGCTGCCCAAGAGCAGCAAAACTTAAACCCCCTTCAGGCCTGCTGCACTGCACGCACACACCCACTTGCTGCTGCTGCTGCTGCTGCTGCTGTTGCTGCTGCTGCTGCTGTTGCTGCTGCTGCTGCTGCTCCTGGCGCGCACCTACGGGGGTTCGGCGGGGGACTGGGGGAGCTCTCGAGGGCGCTGTGAGTCTACTAGGGTTTGGGGTTTAGGGTTTAGGGTTTAGGGTTTACGGTTTCAGTCCATCTTTGCAGCAGCTTGTGCCACTGCTGCTGCTGCTGCTGCCGATTTAGCTGCCGCGTCTCCTCTTCTACAGCAGCGCTGACCAGAGACCCGTGCACGCAGCTGCTGCCCACAGCCTGCAGCAGCAGCAGCAGCAGCAGCAGCAGCAACAGCTGCAACAACAGTAGCAGCTAAGGAGTGAAGTACACTAGCTGTGAGGCCAGGAGAAACCGCAGCAGCAGCAGCAGTAGCAGCAGCAGCAGCAGGAGTGCCAAGGTGCTGCAGAAGACGTTGCCGAGGGTTTAGGGTTTAGGGTTTAGGGTTTACGTATGTGTCTTGAGGCTGCAGCGCCTCCAACAAGTCCCTGTCGAGCTTGAGGTTGCGCTGCAGCTCTGCGCCCTTTGCTGCTGCTGCTGCTGCTGCTGGTGTTGCTGCTCGCTGCTGCAGCAGCGAAGAGTGCCGCGACAAAGAAGCATAAAGGCTGCACAACGAGGCCCCACTCAAGCAGCCAGGCCCGCTGCTGCTGCTGCTGCTGCTGCTGCTACTGCTGCTGCTGCTGCTGCTGCTGCTGCTGCTGCTGGGGTTCGGGTCTCCCGGCTCAAGCTGGTCCATGGTACCGCATCTGCTGCTGCTGCTGCTGCTGCTGTTGCTGGTCCCGCTACTCTGCTGCGGCTT